CCATCCTTAGGGGGTTGCATCCATCCCTGGGGGGGGGGTACAGGGGTTGTGTCCATCCTTAGGGGGTTCCATCCAGCCTTGGAAGGGGTACAGGGGTTGTGTCCATCCTTAGGGGTTCCATCCAGCCTTGGAAGGGGTACAGGGGTTGTGTCCATCCTTAGGGGGTTCCATCCAGCCCTGGAGGGGGTACAGGGGTTGTGTCCATCCTTAGGGGTTCCATCCAGCCTTGGAAGGGGTACAGGGGTTGTGTCCATCCTTAGGGGTTCCATCCAGCCCTGGGGGGGGTACAGGGGTTGTGTCCATCCTTAGGGGGTTACATCCATCCCTGGGGGGGGTACAGGGGTTGTGTCCATCCTTAGGGGGTTCCATCCAGCCCTGGGGGGGGTACAGGGGTTGTGTCCATCCTTAGGGGTTCCATCCAGCCTTGGAAGGGGTACAGGGGTTGTGTCCATCCTTAGGGGTTCCATCCAGCCCTGGGGGGGTACAGGGGTTGTGTCCATCCTTAGGGGTTCCATCCAGCCTTGGAAGGGGTACAGGGGTTGTGTCCATCCTTAGGGGTTCCATCCAGCCCTGGGGGGGTACAGGGGTTGTGTCCATCCTTAGGGGTTCCATCCAGCCCTGGGGGGGGTACAGGGGTTGTGTCCATCCTGGGGGGGGGTCACCTCCAGCTGCACCATTTTGGGGGGTGTCTGGGGGGGTCCCCACCTTCCCCCTCCTCGTTTCAGGAGCCGCCATCGGGCGCCTGCTGGGGGAGACGGTGGCTCTGCTCTTCCCTCAGGGCATCCATTCGGAGGGGGCCCTGCACCCCGTCGTTCCCGGCGGATACGCCTTGGCCGGTGACTCTCTTGGGATGGGGTTATGGGAGGTGGGGGGTGGACATCTATGGGGTGTCCCATGACCTCCCCCTGTGCCCTGGCGGTGCCCTGCAGGCGCAGCCGCCTTCTCGGGCTCGGTGACCCACTCCATCTCCACGGCTTTGCTGGTGTGTGAGGCCACCGGGCACCTCAGCCACGTCCTCCCGGTCACCGTGGCCGTGCTGGTGGCCAACGCCATCGCCCAGAAGCATCAACCGTCCTTCTACGACGGCACCATCATCGTCAAGAGGCTGCCCTACCTGCCCCGCATCCGCAGCCGGCACATGGCGTGAGCCCCCCCCCCTTTATAAACCTCTCTATTCTGGGGTGATTTGCTGGGAAATGATGGAAATTTGGGGCTTTTTCTGCCTCACCAGCTCCTACCAAGTGGTGGTGGAGGAGTTCATGGAGCGCCGGGTGCTGGCCTTGGCCAAGGGCAGTGGCTTTGAGGAGGTGCTGGCAGCCTTGGACACCTCTGCTGATGCTGAGTACCCGGTGCTGGAGAGTGCAGGTAGGATGTGGGGTACAGGGGGGGGTCACTGGGGCCGGGGGACGGACATCATTGGGCTTGTCCCCATGTCTCCATCCTCCAGGGTCACCCACACTGGTGGGCACCGTCAGCAGAGCCCAGCTCATCACCTTCCTCCAGAGCCACAGGCACCCGCAGGCACCCAAAGGGGAGAAGGTAAATGGGGGGGGGAGCACCCTCCTGCACCCAAAAGAGCTGATTTTCCACCCAAAATCAACACATCGCCTCCCCCAAGCTGCCAGCAGCGGGGACACTCGGTGAGAGCTGCGCCATCGAGCCCATCATGTTCCAGCTCTTGCCATGGACCTCCTTGCACCAGGTTTGGGAAGGGGGGGGTCACATCCTGATGGGGCTGGGAGCCCCCCCCCCCCCGTGTGTGCGTGTGTCCATGCCCCCCGGTTCTGTGTCGGGGGTGGCTCTGTCCCCACATGTCCCTGCTGTCCCCCCCCACCACCAGGCCCATCACCTCTTCGAGCTGCTGAAGCTGCAGCGCATCTTCGTCACCCGCTTTGGGGAGCTGGTGGGAGCCGTCAGCAGGGCCGAGGTGAGGGGGGGGACACGGGGGGGGTAAAGGGGGGGGGGGAACAACACGGACAAGCCCCATCCCACCTCCTCTGCCCCCCCCCCCAGCTGCGGAGAGCGATCGAGGAGCTCGCCAACCCCAAGGGATGAACGAGGGCACCCAGGGACGTCACCCATGCAAAGAGGGGGTGTCCTCGTCCTCCGCCCCCCCCAGGTGATTCCAGGGGACCCTGGGGCTGTGCTTTTTGCATTAAATGCATCATCCATTGAGTCTTCCTCCTCCTTCTCTTCCTCCATCCCTATGGGGCTCAGTTTGGGGGGAGCACCCCCTCCCCATACCCCACACAGCGCTTAAACCACCCCTAAATAACCCCCAATCTGCGCCCAGCCCCTGGCCATGTACCAAAGTGTCCCCATATACCCCCCCCCCTTATAATTATCAGCACATAATTAGTCTTAATCACTGCAATTAATAAGGGAGGGGGTGTTTTGTGACCCCATGTCCGAGGAGGGGAGTGCTCAGCTCCCCCATCCCAGCTCTTTGGTGCCCCCCCCAGCAGCAGGGGAGCAGTGGGGGGGGGCGGTTGGGGAGCACCGTTGGGCCAGTTGGGGTCAACCCATGGAATGTGCTCAATGGGGTGAGGGGACCCCAGCACCCATGAAGGGTGCTCAGTGGGGTGAGGGGAACCCAGCACCCATTGAGGGAGCTCAATGGGGTGAGGGGACCCCAGCACCCATGAAGGGTGCTCAGTGGGGTGAAGGGACCCCAGCACCCATGAAGGGTGCTCAGTGGGGTGAGGGGAACCCAGCACCCATTGAGGGTGCTCAATGGGGTGAGGGGACCCCAGCACCCATGGAGGGTGCTCAGTGAGGTGAGGGGAACCCAGCACCCATTGAAGGTGCTCAGTGAGGTGAGGGGAACCCAGCACCCATGAAGGGTGCTCAGTGGGGTGAGGGGAACCCAGCACCCATTGAGGGTGCTCAATGGGGTGAGGGGACCCCAGCACCCATGAAGGGTGCTCAGTGGGGCAATCAGACCATAGCAAAGGGAGTCCTCAGCCCCCAGAGCCCATGGGGAGGATGCTCAGTGGGACATGGGTCACCCATGGGTGATGCCCCCATCACCCCTCGCCTGCTCCCATGGGGGTTAGGATGGGAGCTGCCCTGCTCCACACCAGGGGAAGGGGCACCCAAAGGTGCTGCTTGTGCCGTGCCTCAGTTTCCCCCTCGCCCTTACCTGGCCCCACAGTGTGCATACAGAGAGGAGGTGCTGCTGGGTGCTGCATGCACCCACATCTGCTGCCTCCCCCTTCCACTGAGGGTGCTGGCAGGGCTGAGACCAGCACACTCCTGACACACACGGGGCACCCACAGCCCCAAACACCCAAAATCGGGTGAAACCCACCCAAAACAGCAGCTTGTGCAGGCAGGGGCCGGTCCCCCCCAAGCCACATCCCCCCCTCCCCTGTTCTCTATGGGTTTGGGCAAGCAAAAAACCCCTTTTCCGGCCCTTTCCCACCCTATGATTTGCAGGCACCGGGCAGCCGGCCCCGGCCCCGTGGCTTGGGCCAAATTCCCTGTGGATTGTGCTGACGGAAACAGCCTTTGGATGGGAAACGCTGCTCGAGCTGTGCAGGATCCCTCAAAACCCGCTTAAAAACCCAATAATCCTGAAAACTCTTTTAAGAACCAAAAAAAGACCCCTTAAAATTCCCAATAACCCCTTAAAACTCCCTTAAAAGCCCCAACAACCCCTTAAAAGGCCTTTAAACCCCAAATAACCCCATAACCCTTAAAGTCACCAATAACCCCTTTGAAAAACCCTTAACCCCCCCCAGTCTCTGAAACCACTCTTAAAAGTCCTGATCACCCCTTAAAAACCCAATAACAACTTAAAAAGCCCTGATACCCCCCTTAGAAACCCCATAAACCCCCTTAGAAACCCCATAAACCCCCTCTTAAACCTCCTTATATCCCCCCCTTAAGAAATCCTTAACCCCCCCACCCCCTCTTAAAAACCACTTCTAAACCCCTTAATAGCCCTTAAATCCAGCCCTGCCCCCCTTTTGCCCCCCAAAACTCCATCAATGGCCCCAAGCCAGCGATTCTAGAAAACAAACAAAAAAAAAAAGCACATTTTTATTTGAATCAAAACCCCATGAAAATCCCTCAAAATCCCCCAAAATCCAATAAAAAAAAAGGAAAACAAACAAAAAACCCAAATAAAAATCAAGGGATCCAGGTTTCCTTTCCCCCTTTCCCCTCTTTTTGCCCCGACCTTCGCTTCCTCGCAATAAATATACAAAAATAGAATAAATTAGGATGAAAAAGGAAAGGAAAAGGCAGGAGGGGTTAACCCCTGGGTTTGGGGGGGGGAGGAATAAATAGGGAGCACAGAGCCCAAAGGAGCCGGTCTGGGGGCTGAGGCCTTGGTTTCATTCTTGAAATGTGGAAAACTAAAGAGGACCCTCCCCAAAACCGCCCCCCCCTGCCCCAAATGAGCCTGGAATCTTCATGTTCCCATCATTGCAGCCTGGTGCTGGGAGGGGGGGGGCACCCGTTCCATCCCCAACACTGGGGATTGCTCGTAATAATGGTATCAAACCACCTTAATAATAATAGACATAATAAATAAGCCCCTCGGGGAGGAGGGGGTGGGGGGGGTCTTCATTTGGTTGGTTTCAAGTAGTGGGGTTTGGGGGGGGGGGGGTCAGAGGGGTGCCCCCCCGGCGCTGGCCTGCTCCTGCAGCCCCAGCAGGCTGTAGGCGATGCGCTTCTGGTGCCCCGGCAGCCGCACGCCGACCTTCTTGATGTCACTGGTGGGGGGAATAGGGAGGAAATGCACAAACATTGGGATTTGGGGTGGAAAATGGTGGGGATGACACCCCCCCCCCCACACACACACACCCCATGGCTGCAGTGTTCCCAAGGGATGTGGCTCATCCCGAGGTCTATGGGTGGGAAGGGGTGAGCCCAACGCTATGGAAGGGGTTTTGTTTTGCAGCACGTCCTCATGTCCCGTGGGACAGTGCAGGGATAATATGGGGACAGTGTGCGGATAGCTGGAGGCAGCACGGGGACGGGGGGGGAACAGAGAGGGGAGAAGGTGGGGACAATACAGGGACAACATAGGGATGGCATGGGGATAGTGTGGGGATACGGCATGGGAATGTACAAGGACAGTGTGGGGACAGAATGTGAATAGCAAGGGGATAGTGTGGGGATAGCACAGGGACACCATAGGGACAGAATGGGGACAGTAGAGGGACACCATAGGGACAGAATGGGGACAGTACAGGGACACCATAGGGACAGAATGGGGACAGTACAGGGACACCATAGGGTCAGAATGGGGATAGTACAGGGACACCATAGGGACAGAATGGGGACAGTACAGGGACACCATAGGGACAGAATGGGGACAGTACAGGGACACCATAGGGTCAGAATGGGGACAGTACAGGGACACCATAGGGACAGAATGGGGACAGTACAGGGACACCATAGGGACAGAATGGGGACAGTAGAGGGACACCATAGGGACAGAATGGGGACAGTACAGGGACACCATAGGGACAGAATGGGGACAGTACAGGGACACCATAGGGACAGAATGGGGACAGTACAGGGACACCATAGGGACAGAATGGGGACAGTAGAGGGACACCATAGGGTCAGAATGGGGACAGTACAGGGACACAGCATAGGGCATCATGGGGACAGTATGGGAATATCAAGGGGACAGTGTAGGGACAGTATGGAGGACACTGTGAGGATATGAAGGGGCAGTGTGGGAATAATAAGGGGACAAGATGGGGACAGTACAGGTACACCATAGGAATATCAAGGGGACAGCACAGGAATGGTATGGGGACAGAACGGGAATACCAAGGGGAGACCATGGATACAAGTATGGGAACAACACGGGGCTGGTGCAGGGCTATGGACTCACTCGCTGGTCATCTGCAGGACCTTCTCAATGGTGCTGTAGCCCGAGGCCATGAAGTGCTCCGTGTACTGGGGCATCCGGATGGATTCCAGCCACTCGGGGACGGAGCGGAAGGGAATGCCCTCGGAGCCGCTGGTGCTGGGCAGGCGGATGGAGACCCTGCAGGGGACGGGCATGGGACAAAGGGGGGAGGCAAACGATGCGGGAATGGGAGGAGGAACAAATGGAAGGATAAAAGAAGAGGGTGCAAAAATAACGTGGAAATGAAACCGTGCCCAAAAAATGGTGCTGGAAAAGCAAAGATGCAAAAAAAAAAATACCGTGAAAGTGGAAAGGTGCAGGAAAAGGGGGTGGGAATGGGAGGATGCAAAAAGCGATGCAGAAAGAGAGGAATCCAAACAAACAAAAAGCACCAGTGCTGATGTCCAGATGTGGGGATGTGCAAAGCAACGCCCCAGGGCAGAGGTGCAAAGAGTGAAGGCAAAAGCAGAAGCAGAACGCAAAGGAGGTGGTGAGGAAGCGCCCAGATGTGAAGGTGCAAAGGGGAAATGCAAGAGGAGAGGCGCAAATGCAGGGAACTGTGAAAATGGCAAAGGGGAAGCACCAAAAAGCACAAATGAAGAGAGGAAAATCGGGCAAAATGCGAAACCTGTCACAAATGCAAAGGGGGAGTGGAGAATGTGAGGGGATAAAACGGCAAAGTCAGTTCACAAGAGCACAGATGCAAAGAAGAGCACAAGGAAGCTAAGGTGCAGAAAGCAAGGGGAGGGTGCAGAGGGTGCAAGAATGCATGGATGTGAGGAGCAAAGTGGGGATGTGGAACTGCAGAACCAGGATGCAACGATGCAAAAAGGAGCATGGGAATGCCAGGGTGTGGAAGAGCAATGCAGGAATACGACAGGGGAAAAACCAATGAGGAAAGGGGGAGCTGCAGTGAAGAAGTGTGAGGCTGCAATGGGGCAAAAAGCAGTGCAAGAGTGCAGGGATACAAGCAGCAATGCAAAAATGCAGGTGTAAAACTCAAGATGAAACTGCAGGGATGCACAAAGCAATGCAAGAATGCAGGGGTGCAAGAAGCAATGCAAGGATGCAGGGAGGCAAGAATGTAGAGATGCAGGGACTCAAAGGTGCAAGAATGCAGAGATGCAGAAAAAACAACACAAGAATGCAGAGATGCTGGAATGCAGATGCAAAGCCCAAGGCAACAGATGCACAAAGCAATGCAACAGATGCAGGGGTGCCAGAATATAGAGCTACAAGAAGCAATGCAAGGATACAAGGATGCATCCTTGAATGCATCTGCAACCCAAGAACGAAGAGATGTGAGAATACAGAGATGCAAGCAGCAAGGCGAGGCCGCAGGGGTGGAAGCATGCAGAGATGCAGAACCCAACCCAAGGATGCTCAAAGCAATGCCAGGATGCAGCCCCCCCAAACCCACTGCCGGAGGTGCAGCAGCACGTGCAGGGGCACAACCTGCCCATCATTGCTCACCGGGGGTCAAAGTCTGCCAGCGCCTTGAGGGACTCGGGGGCACGGATGAGCTTGTCCAGGATGCTGACGACGTCGGCAAACTTGGGGCGCCGGGAGCGCTCCTGCTGCCAGCACTGCATCATCAGCTGGTAGATGGCCGAGGGGCAGTCCAGCGGCGCAGGCAGGCGGAAGCCCTCGTTGATGGCCTTCATCACCTGTGAGGAACCATAGGATCCCAGCCTGGTTTTGGTTGAAGGGACCTTAAAGCTCATCCAGCTCCAAGGCAGGGACCCCTTCCACTAGAGCAGCTTGCTCCAAGCCCCATCCAACCTGGCCTTGGACACGGCCAGGGATGGGGCAGCCACAGATTCTTTGGGCAATCAGTGCCTCACCACTCCCAAAAGGAGGAGGTTGAGTGGTCCTACCCCCCCACCCCCCCATTTGTCCATTTACCAGAATGCCCCCCAAAAACTGAGGTTGGAGGGGCTCACCTCGTGGTTTGAGAGCTCCCAGTAGGGTCTCTCTCCATAGGACATCACCTCCCACATGACGATGCCGTAGCTCCAGACGTCGCTGGCGGAGGTGAACTTGCGGTAGGAGATGGCTTCAGGAGCTGTCCAACGGATGGGGATCTTCCCACCCTGCAGTAACAACGCTGGGGTCAACCCTTCATCTTCCCCCCTGAACCCCACCCTCACCATGGCCCTGTGGTGGCACCCACGCTGGTGGTGTAGGTGGCTTCAGGATCATCTTCCAGCACTCTGGAAAGGCCAAAATCCGACACTTTGCACACCAGGTTGCTGTTCACCAGGATATTCCGAGCGGCCAGATCCCGGTGGACGTAATTCATGTTGGCCAAGTACTTCATGCCGGCGGCGATGCCCCTCAGCATCCCCACCAGCTGGATGACACCAAATTCCCCTTCTTTTTCCTGGGAAAAGGGGGAGAATCCGGCCTCGAATCCATCTCTCAGCACATCTCCCATGGGGGATGTCTGGGGATTCCAGCCTTGCCTGCGCTGGTGGGACACACGTTGCCACCCCACTTCACCTACCCGCAGGAACTTGTCCAACGCGCCGTTCTCCATGTACTCTGTGATGATCATGAAGGGTTTGTCTGGAGGAAGAAAAGACCCAAAATGGGTAAAAAAAACCCTAAAAATCTCACCAACCCCTCCCCAACCCAACCCCAAAATAACAACAACCCCCCCAAAACCCCAATTCCCACCAAAAGAAACACTACCAAACCCCAGAAAAAAAAACAAACTCACCCCAAACCCCCTCAAACTCCCAACCCTCCCCTCCCAACCCCATCATACATCGTTGCTCAAAACACCCCATTCCCATAGAGCCATTTTTGGGGTGTTTTGCAGGGAAACTGGGGGGTTTTGGGACTCACACTTGGAGACGACCCCTTCCAGGCGGATGATGTTGTGGTGGCAGAACTGGCCCATGATGGTGGCTTCGCTCAAGAAGTCCACACGCTGCTTCTCCGTGTAGCCCACCTTCAAGGTCTTGATGGCCACTGGCACCTCCTTCTTGCCACGCTTCAGGGTCCCCTTGTAGACCTCCCCAAATTCACCTGCTCGGAGGATGGGGGATGTTCATCCCTTTACCATGGACCGACTTCGGGGTGTCTTTGGGGTGACAAAACCACCTGAGGACCTACCAGCACCAATGACCTTCTGGCGGGTGATGAAGGATGGAGGGATCTCGGTGGTGAACTTGAGCATGGCTTGGTTGGGGTCCTCATAGGTGTGGGGGTCAACATAGGTCTTGAGGGGCTTCAGCTGCTCTGTGGGGTGCCATAGGGGGTGTCAGCATCCACATCACCCCCCATCCATCCCCACTGAGCCCACCATCCCATTGCTCACCTGACTTGGAGAAGTAGACGTCCTCAGCAGAGTGGCGCGGCCGTGACCTCCTCCTCCTATGGAAAAGTGGCATTTTGCCCATTTAAACACCATTTTTGGTGGTGGAAAATGGTAGTTTTGTTTTTTTTTTTGGGGTGGGGGTATTTTATCTCCTTACCGCCGGAGGACGTAGAGGAGAGCACCCAAGAGCAGGAGGACGAAGACAACACCAACGATGGAGCCACTGATGACAGTGGCGGATGCCATGGCCTCAGCACCTGTTGGTGTGAATCAAGGGGGAGATTTGGGGTGAACCAAGCACCCCCTGGACCCCCACCCCAAAATCCTGCCCCCCAAGGTCCTCACCCTCGGGCAGGGTCTCGAACTCGTGCTGGGGGCTGTAGGCCCCGTGGCCATCGGAGGTGAGCGCCTGGACCCGCACCACGTAGGTGGTGGCAGGGGACAGCTTGGGGAGGGTGACGGAGGTGCCCTCACAGCGCAGCACAGAGTAACTGTTCTCATCCACCTGGGGACACGGGGGGGAGACAGGGATGGAGGTGACGTGGATGGAGATGACATGGATGGATGGGAGGGTAATGTGGATAGGGTCATGGATGGAGGCAACACGGATAGAGGTGACATGGATAGAGGCGACATGGAGATGACATGGATGGACAGGAGGGTGATGTGAATAGGGTCATGGATAGAGATGACATGGATGGAGGTGACATGGATGGATGGGAAGGTGATGTGAATAGGGTCATGGATGGAGGCGACATGGACAGAGATGACACGGATAGACAGGAGGGTGATGTAGATAGGGTTGTGGATGCAGATGACATGGATGGAGGCAACATGGATGGAGGCAACATGGATGCATGGGAGGGTGATGTGGATAAGGTCATGGATGGAGGTGACATGGATGGATCGGACTGTGTGGATAGGGTCAAGGATGCAGGGGACATGGATGGGAATAGGGTCACGGATGGAGGTGACATGGACGGATGGGAGTGACGCAGCTCAGGGGTGATGGACGACCTTCTTGCTGTAGGTGACCTCGTACTTCCAGACCCGACTCTGCTGCCGCGGTGGCACCGTCCAGGAGAGGACCAAGCTGGTGGATGTCCGTCCATCCAGGCTCACCGACGTCACCCGGGGTGGCTCTGCCAGGGGGACACGGAGGTGTCACCGTCAGGGTTAAAGACACCATGAAGGTGCCCCATGGGTATAACAGAGTTACCCAGGGGGGTACAAGGACATCGCAGAGGTGACGTAAGGAAGGTTGGGAGACCCTGGTGGCCCCTTACCCGTCTGGTTGACGCTGATGGTGGCGGTGGCCACGCTGCGGTGTTGGCTGTATGGGGACACCCCATTGCGGGCTTCAACTGTGAAGGTGTAGTTAACGTAGGGCTCCAGGTCGGTGACGGTGACCCCGGTCCCTGCCAGCCCCCGGGGGGGCTGTGAATACCGGACCCCCCCGTCGCAGGGCCGGCACTCGCCGCTCTCGGGCCAGCACTGCTCGCAGGTGATGCTGTAGGTGACATCCCCACGGCCACCCGGGTCCGCGGGGGGGGACCAGCGCAGCCGCACCGAAGCCCCCATCCCGATGGCCGTGACGCCTTGGGGTGGTGAGGGGGGACCTGAAATAGGGGGACACAGAGAAGGGAGGGGGTCAGGGGAGGGATGGTGGCACCAGGCTTTGGTTTCCCTGTCCCCAAAGGTCACTCACGGGTGCAGGGGTCCTCGGGGGGGTCGCTGGGGGTGCGGAAGAAGCCATCCTGGCAGGGGCAGGTAGCGGCGGCCTCAGGGGATGGCAGCGTGTGGGGGGGACAGGGCTGGCAGCCCCCCACGGACACCGTGGCCTTGAAGGAGCCGGGGGGGCAGGCTGTGGGGGGAACAGACACAGGGGCAGCGGTGAGAGCCCAGCGCTCCCCACACATCCTCATCCAGCGGGGTTTGGGGTGCAGGATGCTTGGAGCAAGCTGCTCCAGTGGAAGGTGTCCGTGCCCAGGGCAGGGGTTGGAGCTGGATGAGCTCTAAGGTCCCTTTAATCCAAGCCACTCTTGGATTCGGTGGGTTTTGGACCTTCTTTATTAGTGGGGACCCCCCCTCGGGTCACCGCTCTCCTGGCTGAGCCCTCCCGCACTCACTGCGCTTGTGATGCTCAGAACTGAGCATCCAGGATGGGGGAATCCAGGGGAATTCGGGGGGGGCCACACCCAATTTCTCTGCTCACCCCTTGGCATGCACTGAGCTGATGGGTCCTCACCTCCTAAACACCTCCTCACCCTCCAACTCATCCCATCACGCCACAGCTGTATCGCACCCCATCTCATCCCACTCCACCATGTCTCACCCGTACCCCATCCCATCCCACCTGTATCTCATCCCATTTCCCCCCATTCCATCTGTATCTCACCCCATCTCATCCCACCTGTATCCCATCCCATCTGTATCTCGTCCCAGGTCATCCCAATCCCATCAAGTCCCACCTGTATCCCATTCCATCCATATTCTGTCCCATCCCATTTCATCCCTTCCCATCTACCTCACCCCATCTTGTCCCACCTGTATCCCATCCCATCTGTGATTCTGTGATCCCGTCTATATCTCATCAATATCCTATCCCATCTACTTCATCCCATTTCATATCATCCCATATGTGTCCCCACCCCACCTGTATCCTGTCCCATCTGCATCCCGTCCATATCTTATCCCATGTACTTCATCCCATTTCATCCCATCCCATCTGTATCTCATCACATTTCATCCCATCCCTTCTGTATCTCATTCCATCTTGTCCCACCTGTATCCCATCCATATCCTATATCCCATCTACTTCATCCCATCTTTAACTCAGCCCACCTTGTTCCACCTGTATCCTGTCCCACCTATATCTCATCCATATCCTACCCCATCTACTCCATCCCATTTCGTAACATCCCATCTGTATCTCATCCCATTTCATCCCATCCCATCTGTGTCCCACCTCATCTTGTCCCACTTGTACCCCATCCATATCCTATCCCATCTGCATCTCATCCCATTTCATCCCATCCCATCTGTGTCCCACCTCATCTTGTCCCACTTGTACCCCATCCATATCCTATCCCATCTGCATCTCATCCCATTTCATCCCATCCCATCTGTACCTCACCCCATCTTGTCCCACCTGCATCTCATCCACATCCTATCCCATCTACTTCATCCCATTTCATACCACCCCATCTTGTCCCACCTGTACCCCATCCATATCCTATCCCATCTGCATCTCACCCCATCCCATCCCATCTGTACCTCACCCCATCTTGTCTCACCTGTACCCCATCCATATCCTATCCCATCTGCATCTCATCCCATTTCATCCCATCCCATCTGTACCTCACCCCATCTTGTCCCACCTTTATCTCATCCACATCCTATCCCATCTACTTCATCCCATTTCATACCACCCCATCTTGTCCCACCTGTACCCCATCCATATCCTATCCCATCTGCATCTCACCCCATCCCATCCCATCTGTACCTCACCCCATCTTGTCTCACCTGTACCCCATCCATATCCTATCCCATCTGCATCTCATCCCATTTCATCCCATCCAATCTGTACCTCACCCCATCTTGTCCCACCTTTATCTCATCCACATCCTATCCCATCTACTTCATCCCATTTCATCCCACCCCATCTTGTCCCACCTGTACCCCATCCATATCCTATCCCATCTGCATCTCATCCCATCCCATCTGTACCTCACCCCATCTTGTCCCACCTGCATCTCATCCACATCCTATCCCATCTACTTCATCCCATTTCATACCACCCCATCTTGTCCCACCTGTACCCCATCCATATCCTATCCCATCTGCATCTCATCCCATTTCATCCCATCCCATCTGTACCTCACCCCATCTTGTCCCACCTGTACCCCATCCACATCCTATCCCATCTACTTCATCCCATTTCATACCACCCCATCTTATCCCACCTGTACCCCATCCATATCCTATCCCATCTGCATCTCATCCCATTTCATCCCATCCCATCTGTACCTCACCCCATCTTGTCCCACCTGTACCCCATCCATATCCTATCCCATCTGCATCTCATCCCATTTCATCCCATCCAATCTGTACCTCACCCCATCTTGTCCCACCTTTATCTCATCCACATCCTATCCCATCTACTTCATCCCATTTCATCCCACCCCATCTTGTCTCACCTGTACCCCATCCATATCCTATCCCATCTGCATCCCATCCCATCCCATCCGTACCCCACCCCACCCTGCCCCATCCCCACTACCCCCATGTCCTACCTTGGCAGGCATCCCCCACTCTCTGGTACCCGGCCCGGCACAGGCACTCCCCGATGGGCACCAGCCACTCTCCATCGGCGTTGCAGTGCAGCGCGGGCGCCTGCTCCGCCACCGCCTCCTCCACGCAGGTGCCCCTCACCTCGGCCAGGGTCTGCGAGTCCCCCCCGGCCACGGTGTGCGGGAACCGCGCCATGCCCCTCACCACCGCCGGGCACCGCTTGTAGTAGATGCGCACCGAGAGCAGCGCCACGCAGGCGCCCAGGTCCTGGAAGGCCAGGTAGAACCCTTTGCGCGTGAGCGGCCCCACCGAGCGCACCTCCACGTTGAGCTTCACGTTCCGCGTGACGAAGTCCTCCTGCACCGTGATCTCATCCGGGGCGATGGTGTCGATCTTCCTGAACTGCCTCTTCTGGAAGTTGGTGCCGTAATCCACGTCCGACTCGGCGTAGTAGAGGTTGAAGGTCTCCTTGCAGGTGCCGCCGCCGCCGCTGGGGAAGCTGTTGCAGTCGCGGACGGTGAACTGGAGCTCGATGAAGATGCGCTGGGCCGCGCCGCGGTAGATCCAGTTGGTGCGGAGCCAGTTGTCCTGCTCGCCCTCCAGCACGTTGCACACCAGGTAGAGGTAGATGGAGGAGTCGTTGAGCATGTTCTGCAGCAGGTCCCACTGGGGCAGAGAGAGACCGAGGCTATGGGGTGGAAACCGAGGCAGGGGGAGGGTGGCCCTGGTCCCTATGGATGCACTTGTTCTCACCCCCATGGAGGTCTCCATCCCAATGAACATCCCCAATGCCATGGGTGTCCCCATCCCCATGGATGCTCCCACACTCATCCCCATGGAGGTCTCCATCCCAATGAACATCCCCAATGCCATGGGTGTCCCCATCCCCATGGATGCTCCCACACATCCCCATGGAGGTCTCCATCCCAATGGACATTCCCAATGCCATGGGTGTCCCCATCCCCATGGATGCTCCCACACTCATCCCCATGGAGGTCTCCATCCCAATGAACATCCCCAATGCCATGGGTGTCCCCATCCCCATGGATGCTCCCACACTCATCCCCATGGAGGTCTCCATCCGCGTGAACATCCCCAATACCATGGGTGTCCCCATCCCCATGGATGCTCTCACACTCATCCCCACAGAGGTCCTCATCCCCATGGATATCCCCAGTTCCCAGGGATGCCCCCATCCACATGAAGGTCCCCATGAACCTCATGGATTTCCCCATGGATGTCCCCAACTCAATCCCTATGGATGTCCCCCATCCATATGAGCTCACCATCCCCCAATCCCTAGAGATGTCCTCATTCCCAGAGATGCTCCTGCACGGAGGTTTCCATCCCCATGAAAGTTCCCATGCCCATAGGTGCCCCTCTCCCCATGGAGGCCCCATCCCTGTCCCCAGTGCTCACCCCTTTGCCATAGGGCTGGGTGAGCCAGCCCAGCTCCCCCTGCGCCTTCGCGAAGTCCAGCAGCACCACTGCGGAGAGAGGACCAGGATGTAGGGAAGGAGAGGGAGGAGGAAAGGATGAGGGACCTCAGTGAGCACCCATGGGTGGCCCCAGGGCCTGCAAGTGCCACCAATACATCCCTTGGACCCACGGACATCCCCCAGGACCTATGTGAACATCCTTGGGACACACAGATGTCTCCAGGAGCCATGGATGTCCTCGGGATCCATGTGCATATCCCTGCGATACACAACATCCCTGCAGGACCCACTCATGCCCCTCCAGGACCTGTTTGTGTATCCCTGGGTCCCGTGGATGCCTTTGGGACCCACAGAAGCCCCCAGGACTTTCATGTATATCCCTGGGGTCCACGGATGCTACTGGGACCCACGGACATCCCCCGGTACCCATGAACATCCCCCAGGACTCACATGTAAGCCCCTAGGACCCACGGATGCCCCCATGACCCATGGATGCCCCCAACACCCGGGACCCCCAAGGCACCCCCCGGGGTCCCCATTCCAACACCTTCCCCTTGGATCCCCACACAGGGACCCCCATAGGAGGGGCAGGACCCCCCGAGGGCTCGGTCCGGGACCTGTTGCAGCACGTCCAGGGCGGTGGCGCCGGGAGGAAGAGGAGGAGGAGGCGGCGCAGGGAGGGAAGCGCTGGCGGCCCCCCCCCCCCCCCCCGGTGAATCACCCCCCAGGAATGTGCCCGGACGCTGGGTTCACATCCCGGTGGGATGGGGGGAGCGCTGGGAACGGATGCTCCCCCCCCAACCTCCTCTGTTGAGGACGGGCGAGCCCATGGCGTGCCCCAAGAGGGTGAAATCTATGGGGGGGAGAACCCCAAGAACCGGGTTTGGGGGGGCACGAATGGGTCTGTTTGTGCCACCCCCCCCCCCGTGCCCGGGTCAGGAAGGATGCGGGGCGGATATCCCGGCTTTCCTGTGGCTGGAATTCCCCCCACCCCGTGCCTCCGGAGAGCGGAAAGGGAGGCTGGGGGGGAGCTGGGCCGGGGGGTTCCTATGGGGTGTCCCCGGGTGCAGCACCCACCGCTGCCACCTCCATCACCATTGGCACCCCCTTTGCCATCATCAGCATCGCCACGGCCACCCCCATGTGCAGACCCTGCAGTGGTCTCATCTTCCTCGTCCACCCTCATCTTCCTTCTCTGCAGCGGCATCTGCAGCCCCATCACCATCCGTGCCACATTCCCTGCTGCTGCCATCACCATCATCTTCATCACCATCATCACCTCACTCCATGCCTGCATCCCCAGTCCAGTCCCCACTGCATCCTTCTGCCCATCCCCAAGTCCATTTTCAACCCCATCCCTGCCCTGTCCCCATCCCCATCCCAATCCCAACCTTACTCTGAATCCCAACCCCAAAATGAATTCCAATCCCAATCCTCATCCCAGTCTTAACCCGAATCCCGATGCCAAGCCCAAACCCAAGCCCCCTGCCCCTAAACCTCAGCCTGAGCTGGGCAGGATCCAGCCAGGGCACCCCCCAACCTCCCCATCCCACTGGATCCCACCTTTTCCAAGCGATGGGAATCACACCCTCCTTCCCCCACTCCCGCTACTCTCCCAGCGCTTCCCCCTTATTTGCACTTTTTGCACCCCAAAACTCCCAATATCCCCTAAATTCCTTTACGGCAATCGGCATGTTGGGAATGCTGCGGTGGGAATCCCTCCTTTCCACCTTCCTCCTGCACCTCAAACCCCTCATTTTGGGGTTTTTTACCCCATTCTTCGTTTCTAGGGGGGGATTTTCCATCCCGAGCCACCCCCAGCCTCCCATCTCTTCGCATTTGCACCTCAAAACCGCACGGCTCCAACCCCTCGGACAGAGCCTTTGGGAACTTCAACGTGGAAAAGCTTCAGCCGATGTTTTAAAGTGACTTTTCCCACTTTTTTTTTTAACCCAAAATCCCCCAAACTGAGCCCAAACCCGGGCCGGGGGGAGGGGGGTCCCAGGAGGAGGCCGGAATCTCGCTTGGGTTTCCCAGCGATTTCGGGGTTTTCCTGACATTGTTCCCTGCTCTCCGGCCGGATCCTGCCCAGCCCCGCGCCGGGCAGGCCCCGCGCTCCATTTTGGGGTCAGACTCCCCCTTTTGGGGGCTCGTTTATTTCAGACCCCCCCCCCAACCCCGACCCCTCCATAGGGACTACTTGTGGGGCGGAGGCGGCGGGATCGGGCCCCAGCGCGCTCGAGGCGGCCGCTCCGCATGGGAAAAGTTGCCCAAAAATCCCGGTTTTTTCCCCATTTTAGCTTTCCCCTCCGCATTTTACCTTCTCCCCCCCTCTTTTAACCTCACCCCCATCCCCTTCCAGCTTCCCCCCTCCTCTGAGCTTTTCCCACCTCTCTTTTCAGACTTTTTCTCCCATTTCAAAGCTTTTTCCTCCTTTTTCAACTTTTTCCTTCACTTTTAAACTTTTTCCTCCCTTTTCAACCTTCCCCCCACTTTTGAACCCTTTTCCCCCTCTTTCAAACATTTCCCCTCTCTTTTAAACGTCTTTTTCTCCCCATTTTAAACTCCCCCCCCCCCCCCAAACTTCAATACCCCCTCAACGGCGCTTCCCCACCGCACTCATGGGTGCCCCGTTTATAGGGGTGTCTCCCACCATCACCCTTTACTTCAGGGGCTCCCCCAAACCTCTCAGCCCCACCCCACCCCTATGGGTTCCCCCCCATAAGTGGCTTTAGGGGTGCCCCCCCCAAAAGTGGGAACTCACCTTCCTCTGCTGCCAGGGGGGTGAGGGCGGTGAGGAAGAGGATGGTGAAGGCCGGGGGGGTGCCCGCCATAGTGCGGGGGGGGTGTTTTGGGGTGCGCCCCACAACCGGCGGCACCAGCGCTATGGGGCTGAGCACCCCGCTCCTGTTCATTCATGCCCCGAGTGATGTCACCCGGACACGCCCGCTCTTAAAGGGGCAGGAGCTGCTCCCAGTACGCACCAGTGTGGGACTGGGGATGGGGCTGGGGAACGGGCGGGTTATGGGGGGAGCCCCACGGGGGGTTATGGAGGAGTGAATGGGGTTTGGGGGGGTGTGGGTCCGGATTGAGCCCACACCACAGTGACCCCCCCCATCCCGCTCCGGCCTCGAAGGGGTTAACGAGCCCCCCGCCCCTTTCATTCATGAAGCGGCGTGGGAAGGGAAGAGGGGCGCAGCCAATGGCGACAGGGGGCGTGGCCAAGCGGCTACTACCGGCCACGCCCTCCGCCCACCACTCAGACACATGGGGGGGGGATCAGCAGCGGGGTCGGGATCGGGCCCCAGCGCCCCAAATCGCCCCCATATCCCTATAAGCCCAAAGCACCCCAAATCCTGCAGCACCCCCAACCCCAGCATCCCACTGCACCCCAAATCCCATTGCCCCATCCACAGCACCCCAAACCCCCCCAGCACCCCAATGATCCCCATTACACCCCAAATCCCATTGCCCCATCCATAGCACCCCAAACCCCCCCAGCACCCCAATGATCCCCATTACACCCCAAATCCCATTGCCCCATCCATAGCACCCCAAACCCCCCCAGCACCCCAATGATCCCCATTACACCCCAAATCCCATTGCCCCATCCATAGCACCCCAAACCCCCCCAGCACCTCAATGATCCCCATTACACCCCAAATCCCATTGCCCTATCCATAGCACCCCAAACTCCCCAGCACCTCAATGATCCCCATTACACCCCAAATCCCATTGCCCTATCCATAGCACCCCAAACTCCCCAGCACCCCATACACCCCAGCACCCCAATGATCCCCACTGCATCCCAAACCCCCATCATGCCCATCACCCCACAGCACCCCAAATCCTGCATCACCCACAGCACCCCAAATCCCCCAGTACCTCCCAGCACCCCAAATGCCACAGGATCCGAAGCACCCCAAACCCCTCAGCACCCCGTCTCCACGACCCCAATGCACCCCAACACCCCCATTCAGATGAGTCAAGGCACTCACAGGGCTATTTTTGCTGAAAAAAAACATGGATTTTGTTTAAAACACCTCCTTTCCCACCCAGGGCATGCCCGAGCCCAGAGACCACAATGAGGGGCCCCTGACGCCGCAGGACCCCCCCAATAAAGAGGGGGTTCAGTTTGGGGGGGACCCCTCACCCTCTGGGGCGACACCGGCAGCGATTTGGTCCCGGTGCCAGAGGCTCTCGACCAGGGCATCGAGGATGGGGCTGACCCGGGCCAGACCCCCCCGGTCCCCCCTGGCCCCCCCCGGGGTGCTGCCCGCCCGCAGCACCCGCACCCCGTGCACCTCCTCGAAGGCGGCCACGTCCTGCTCCGACACATCCGCGTGTGGGGACAGGTCAAATCTGGGGGGGGGGACGTGGTCAAGGGAGACACCAGCACCATGAGACCCCCCCCTGGAACCAGTGGGTGCTGTGAGTCCATCGCTGCAATGAAGCGTGCTCGTTCTCAGCCTATTGATGTGCCAAGGGCTGGGGAACACCGGGGCGCAAACCCGCTTGTGGGACATAGAAACGTGGCCGAAGGAGACCCCAAAACCCCCTAAAATCCACCCAAAAACGCCATTAAAGGAAGCGGGAATGGCCCATTGGTGTCATGAGGTGTGTGCGTTCTCTGCCCAGCAAGGTCCTGAGTGGTGGGAGCTATGGGGGGGGGCACACACAGGGTCATGCACACCAACACCCCCCATGTGTCAGCGTGTGCCATGAGCCCATCAGTGTGATGAAGCGCGCCCGTTCTCAGCCTATTGATGCACCAAGTGATGGGGAACACTGGGATCCAAACCCACTTGTGTGTGTGTGTGTGTGTGTGTGTGTTGGGGGGCTGCTCCCCATAGCTCCCCCCCCAAGAAGGATACTTGGTGCCCACGACCACCCTGACCAGCCCCGCTCCATCGGGATCCATCACCCGGCTCATCTGCGCCGGCAGCTCCTCGAAGGACGCGCGGTCGGTGAAGGAGAACAGGAAGAGGACGGCGTCTGCCTCCTCCTTACAGGCCTGGCCATGGGGACGGCACCATCAATGGGGAAGGGGTCCTGTGACCCCCAAATGTTGTGTGTGTTCCCCCCCCCAACCCCAACCCCAAAGCCTCACGGGCAGGAGATGCTCAAACTTCCTCATGGCTCCATCCCCGCAATCCCAGAACCGGAGCTGGAACAGGACGGGGCGGCCGCTGGCGCACGCCTTGGCGGGCCAATACACGGTGGTCACCTCAATGCCTGCCGATGGGGACACACAGAGGGGGCCGTCACCCCCCCATGGGACACTGGGGGTGCTGTTGGGGTGTCCCGTGTGTGTGTCCCCCCCCCCAGACACTCACCGAGGGTCTCGTGGTGGACGGGGGGCACAGGGGTCCCCGCCAGCCAGGCCACCAGCGCGCTCTTGCCGACGCCGCTCTTGCCGTGCAGGAAGAGCTTGTAGGGGACCAAGGGGACGGCGAGGCCGGGGGGCAGCACCGGGTGCTCCAGCAGCCCTATAGGGGGGGTGTCGGGGGTGGGTTTTTGGGGGCGCTGACCCCGCGTTCAGGGCGGGCACAGCGGGTACGGGGCTCACCGAACACCCGGCGCCGGTTCCTGTGCACGATGGAGCCCAGGTAGGGCCGGGCGGCGGGGGTCAGGAGCCAGCCCGGCTCCAGCACCGGGGTCCTCTGCGATGACATCGGGACCTGGGGGGGGACATCGGAGGGATCCGCTCGCACCCCCTCCTACCCCCATGGGGTCACTGCACTGCACTACCCCCCCCCGGGTAGCAGCATCCCCCCATGCGGTCCCATAGGGTCTCTGCACCCCTCCATAGGGTCCCAGCATCCCCCTACGGCTTCCAGCTCACCCTCCCTCCCGGGTTTCTGACCCCCCACCATTGGGTCCCAGCACCCTCCATAGGGTCCCAGCATCCCCCTATGGGTCCCTGCACAGCCCCCCCAGGTTTCTGACGCCTCCCATAGCGTCCCAGCATCCTCCTATGGGTCCCTGCTCATCCCCCCCCAGGTTTCTGACCCCCCCCCATTGGGTCCCAGCACCCTCCATAGGGTCCCAGCATCCCCCTATGGGTCCCTGCTCATCCCTCCCCCGGGGTTTCTGACCCCCCCCCATTGGGTCCCAGCACCCTCCATAGGGTCCCAGCATCCCCCTATGGGTCCCTGCTCATCCCCCCCCAGGTTTCTGACCCCCCCCCATTGGGTCCCAGCACCCCCATAGGGTCCCAGCATCCCCCTATGGGTCCCTGCTCAGCCCCCCCAGGTTTCTGACGCCTCCCATAGGGTCCCAGCATCCCCCTATGGGTCCCTGCTCAGCCCCCCCAGGTTTCTGACGCCTCCCATAGGGTCCCAGCACCTCCCTATGGGTCCCTGCTCACTCTCCCGGGTTTCTGACCCCCCCCATTGGGTCCCTGCACCCCCCCGGTCTCACCATCCCCCTATGGAGTTCCTGACCCCCACCCCAGAGCCTTGTCCCCCCCCCGCCCGGGTCCCTGGTCCCTCCCGGCCCCTGCACCCCAAACCCTGCGGGGGGGGAACCACGCAGCCCCCTCTCTGTGTCCCTGCCCCCCCCCGCTTTGCTCTTCCCCTCCCACCCCTCCCCACTTTGGGGTCCCCGCACCCCGCACAGGGGGGGCCCCCCCCCCCCCCCCGGGTTCCCGTTCCCCCCCCCTCCCCGCGGTCCCTTTAAGACGCCCCCCCCCCCAACCCTTACCTGTGGCCTCTTCCGCCTCGGGGTGACGTCAGGACGGAGGGGGGCGGGGCGTCTGCACGCCCCGCCCACTGCTGGCAGCGCATGCGCAGAGGTGTAGGGGGTCCCACGTGGAGCAGCGGGGTCCCTGGGGGTGATCCCCATCACCAGCCACCGGCACTGGGATGCTTTGGGGTCCCCTTTCCATCCCCAGCAGGATTTGGGGTCCCCATTGCCCATTCCCAGCCCTATCCTGCCTTGGGGTCCCCCTTTTCCATCCCCGTCCAGCAGGATTTGGAGTTCCCAGTTTCCAGCCCTGGCAGGATTTGGGTTCCCCCATTTCCACCCCTATCAGGCTTTGGGGTCCCCATTCTTCAGCCCTGACAAGATCTGGGCTCCCCATCCCTAACTGCTGACACTGGGATCCTGCAGCATTCCCAGTTTCCATCACTCTCTCCCTTTTCCCAACCCCTCCCACCCCTGTGCCCCTTTTTCCCACCTCTTATTCTGACCCCCCCCGTACTCATTGCCCCCTTAACACCCCAACCTCCCCCCTGATCCCCCCAACCATGTGGGATTCCCCTCCCCTCCATCCCCCCCATTCCCAAAAGTACCAACCATCCGTTTCTTTTCCTTTTTATTTGTTAAACTGCTAAAAATCCACTGGGATGGGGGGCACCCATTCCCTCCCCCCCCAGCCCCCAACCCCCCAATGTACACAAGGGCTTAAATATCACCAAATTCCTACAGTGGGGACAAGGATGTGGGGGGGACGACACCGGAGGGGACACGGCCCCTCGCTCACAGCACCAGCGGCTCATGGAGGGGTTGGGAATGTGCCCAACTTTGGGATGGATTCATGGGTTTGGGTGCAGGACATGCCATGGGGATGGAGGAGGGATGAGCCCAGCGGGGTTGGGGGGATTTGGGGATTGGTTGGGGATGGAAGTGTTGGGAAGATGTCAACCTGGCGCCGTTGTCCATCCCTTGGTGACTATGGGGTGGGATGACAAGAGACATGCAATGGGAATCGATGCCGAAGCATTCCCAAGCTTCGAGTGGAGAAACAAGGATGTCATCCGTCACCTCCGGTGCTCCTGAGGGATTGCGGGGTAGTTTGGATGAACCCAACCTGGGATTGGAGCGGGAGAAGGGGGGGATTGCACGAGGGGTTTATTTACAGAGGTGGGAATGCCGCGGATGAAGCAGATCCCTCCCCATGCTCACGCGGCTGCGATGGGATTTAAGGCTCCGGCCGGCAAAAAGCTCAGTGGGGCTGGAAGTGGGGCTAGAAAAGAATCCAATGGGAACAGGGACCACGTCATGGCGCTGCCGGCTTGGGGAGGGCTCCCTAAGGAGGTTGTTGACCAAAACCTGGCAAAATCCACCCGTTTTTCCCACTCCCCCCCCCCATTGTCTCGAGGGGAAAGGGATGGAGGGAGGTTGTCCCAGAAGGACGCACAGGTTCAATCCCTTTGGATTTTCAGTTGGTTTAATCTTTGCGGAAGGAGGCACGTGCAAAGATGAGCTGCAGTTACCGCTACCGAGGCTGCTCTCGCCCTCAAATCCACCCAAATCCATCACTTTGGCTGGAAAAATGACCCCCATTCCCAGGCTAGGAGGTGCTGGTTCAGCCTTGAAGGGGTTTGGGCTGTTGAGGGATAGGAAACCTTTGAGCGCAGAAGGGATTTGGCAGCCAAATGTCTCAGCTTCCTGGGAATAATGGGATTTGTAAGGTAAATGGGGTGGTTTTCACGGATCCGAAGGGATCAGGGCTGATCCCAATGCCTGATCCAGCCCAGGGCATGGAGAGGATCCCAACGCCCGGCTCATGCTTAGCATATTTGGCATTTTGACATGCTAAATCCTGCCCTTTCTTCCTTCTTTATGCTCCAGAGGACAGGACCGAGGGGCGAGAGGCAAAACCTAACAAAGGCATCATGTTTGTGTCAAGCAAAGGCTGGCGCAAGGGAGATTCCTGCCGGGATATTGCTGTTGTTTTCCTTACGGAGCCAAGCAAACAGCCTCCAGCCTGCTGGAATTGGGTGTTCCTACAGAGCTGCTTTCACTCACGGCCTAGGAGGAGTTTGGGAGACACACGGAGCCTCCCCGAACCCCTGCATAGAACAAACCCAACCTCCAGAGGCTGGAGGTCCCCAATTCCCTACCGGCTCCCCCCCAAATCCTTGGCTTGGATGGCAGCAGTGGGGGGGTTCTCCCCCCCCGTAAACACTGGGGGCTCCCTGGGAACCGGTGGGGCAGCGCTGGAGGGTTTTGCTTGGATTTTATTGGATTCTTGCTCCCTAATTCACAGTTTGAACACCGGCGGGACAGGGAAAGGGCTCGGGAAGGAGAGGGAAGAGCCGCAGGGAGGGAAGGGAGGAGGCGGTGGTGCAGGATGGGGCCGCATTATCTCTTTGCTCGCACAAAGTACAAGGCATTTGTTTTGGGGTAGTACTTCACGTTCTGCTTCTTGTCCATGAGGCCACCGAAGATGATTAACTCGCCTCTGCCTTGCACCACCGTGTGTAAACTGGTTTCGGGGGGTCCCACCACCGAGCTGCTGTTGAACACTTTCCATTTGACTCGTCCTTGTTCCTTGGTGTCTTTAATGTCCAGGACGTACATCTGCATGGGTTTGCAGTTCATGCTCTGGTACAAAGGCTTCCCAACGTTGAGGGATTGGGGAGGGTGGTGGCCCAGGCGCCGGGCGATGGGAGGTAAGGAATGGCCGTCCCCTTGGGTAGAACCAGGACGTGCTGCTGAGCCCGGCTCGGCGCCCGGGGACCCCGGGGAGGAGGCCAGAGGAGGGCTCAGCGCTGCCGAGGCCGAGGGGCCTTTGGAGGAAAGGGCTTTGACAGCTTCCAGGCTCCTCCGGAGCGCGCTGGGGGACACGGCGCCGGGGAGGGAGCCGGTGACGTGGGGCGGCGTGTGGATGCCGTTGGTGTGCTCCGGGGGGTTCCTCACGCTGGCGCTGACTGTCCTGCCCTCCACAGCATCCATCTGGCACAGCAGGGACCCCGGTTTCTGTTCCCAGCTCATGTCGACGGATCCCAAGCGGAGATCCTTCTGCTCCGGCAGCGATCCCCGCCGCGGCGCCAGGGCCAGCCCCACTTTGAGGTCGTATCCTTCGGCTGCGGAAGGGGTGCTGGGTGACACGAGCTGCACGGGGCTGTCCAAGGAGGCGCCGCCGGCCGCCGTGGCACCGGGGGACAAAGCGCCCCCGTTGAGCACGGGGGAGCTGTCCCCTCTGGCTGGGGACAAGCTGCCTTCCCGGGATCCCGAGGGCGTTTGCCGCTGCGCCCTGGGCCGCAGGGTGCCCCAGCGGCCATTGACGCAGGGAGCTTCGTCCGTGTTCCTGACGGGAGACTGGGAGCGGTATTCCCGTGTTTCGGGGACCAGGGCGGGCGGCGTGGCGCTGATGGGAGAGGGGCGGGAGTTGAGGCTGGGGCTCAGCGGGGCTCTCCCGCTGGGAGCTTGGCTGAAGACCACCACACATTGTCCCACCTGGAAGAGGAGAAGGGGAGAGGCCAGGTTAGAACGGGAGGAGGATGCTTTGTGCTGTACTGGGGGGGAAATAGGGGGATATGGAACTATAGATTCATGGAATGGTTCGGGTTGGAAGGGACCTTAAAGCTCCTCCAGCTCCAACCCCTGCCACGGGCAGGGACCCCTTCCACTAGAGCAGCTTGCTCCAAGCCCCTGTGTCCAACCTGCCCTTGAACACTGCCAGGGATGGGGCAGCCACAGCTTCTCTGGGCACCCTGTGCCAGCGCCTCAGCACCCTCACAGGGAAGAGCTTCTGCCTAAGAGCTATCTCAGTCTCCTTGGCCTGTCCCTACAGGCTCTGCCAAAGCTCCAGGGGTGGACGTGAGACCCTGGTGTGTCCGTACCCTGCAGGCAGGATGGCACCACAGCTCCGGGGCTCCGTGGTCTTCGTTCTCCACCTTGAGTGGCTGCCACGTCCAGGGGTTGCTGTGCATGTGCAGTAACCAGGCGTCCTTAAACAGCTGTGGAGAGAAGTGGGACAGGTTCAGGAGCCTGGTTTGCTGCTGAGATCAGCCCATGGGAGGCAGGAGCGGTGCTGTGCTGCTGCAGACAGGGGAACGGTGACCCAGATCAGGATCTGACCGCCCAGGAGTGACTACACCCTATGTGGTCGCGGACAAATCCCATCATCTCCATCTTCCATCCCAGTATAAAATCTAATTCTCTCTAATTCTTCTGAGGCTCAATTAAAACCTCAGCGAGCTGCTGGGATAGTGCCTGAGGTGCTTCTTTCTTAATTAAAGTGGCTCTAGCAATAGGCAGACAGCTTCCCTGGAAAATCCATCACATGGGAGCCCAGGATTCATGGAATCACAGAATGGTTTGGGTTGGAAGTGACCTTGAAGCTCTTCTGGTTCCAGGTTTGCAGAATGAAATGCCACCTGGGCGAGGGGCAGGCTCTGTCCGTCCGCCCCCCGCTCCCCACTGCAGCACCTGCGGCTCACTGATACAGTGGGCACCTCCTGCCCATGCTCCCTATGGATACTCACTGCATTGGGACCACCACAGCCACCGAGGATTAGAATGGTTTCACTGTCTATGACGATCTAGAGCGGACAAAGAAGAGAGTTTCAGAGTGGGGAAGATGTGAAACCATCGCCGATGCTTTCGGTGCGGCCCCCAAGCACAGCCAGAGGCAGGTCCTGGTTTCTTGGCTGCACAGATGCTGCTGAATGGTGCCTGCCCCGGGATGAGGAGTGGAGCTGGCATGGGGAGCAGGTTCTGCTGGGCCTGAGGCAGAGCAGGACACAGGGTTCACCCCGCTGCCTTGTCCCAAATGGCTCACAAACCAGTTCCTCTTAGGGAGGAGAGCAATTACCCGTCCTGAGGCTGAGCCAATGCACAGGGGCCCGAACACCCCTCTTCAGATAAGGGTCGATGGGCTGCCTGGGAGGGCTTGTGCTTGTAGCAAGGTTTGTTAGGTGCTGGTGGTGGGTGAGAGGCCCTTCACCTTCTTTTCCAGTGGAGGAAAGACATGTTTGGGCATGACCC